GTTTACGTGTCGTCTTATCTTATCTCTGTTTCATCTTCGATAAAATTTTCGACGGAATAAAAGTCATTGACGATTCAGCAACACCGTGCATCAAGAACAAAACATTGTGGCACAAAGGATTGAAACGATTCTAAAAATAAAGGATCTCGATGAACTTTACCGAGAAGATAAATAAAGTTCTTGAAAGTTCGATGCAATAAAAAAAAAAAAGAAGAGAGAGAAGAGTACTAGAAATATGGTTTTACGTAATCGATGGAAATTACCCGATTCACGTGACCGCGATCAAATTGTTCCCAAGATAGTGGTCAGTACGTGAACGTCACTCGTGACGGAAGAGAAGCCACGGTAGAGTAAATATCATTTTCGTGGGTAGAACGATGATGATTTTCCACGAAAAGCAGCGTAACGACGCGTGATAGCTCGTAAAGCCGGATAATCGATAATGACCTTCGTGCTGGCGCGAGAAAAGGGACAGTCGAAGAGGAATCTCGCCCACGCACGAGGGAGAGAGAGAGAAATTTTTCCAAACGCGATCGTTGCGAAAAAAGAAACCACATTTCGAGAAAAGGGGTTGGACATTTGAGGAAGGAGGTTCGTGTTGGTTTTCGTGGGCGAAAATAAAAACGATAAATTCACTTGCGCTACTTGAATTCAAGGTGGTGTTTAATTATACGTCAGCGCTTGACCTAATTTGATATTCGCTCGTATTTTTCCATTCTGTTTCATTCTTTCGGATTTACTCTGGAGAACCACAAATACACGCGTACAATTTTCGTCCGCCCCCCTTTTTACCCGGCAGCAATGTATTCCATTGACAAAAGAAGGAAATCGGAATATTTCTCCAACGCTTTCTTGATTCGCGTTGATCGACTTTCACCGACAAATACATCGAAAATGGAATTCCATTTTATTCATCGTGTCTTGAGCGATAATGATACGCCCGACACGAGAATCAACTTTGTCCGAAGGACACGCTTTCCTCTCTTTTCTACTCTTCGAGCGCTCGTTAATCGACTCGAAACACGTCAAAGCTATACCATAGAAATCTAAACGAATTATCTGACGATTCTATAAATAATCCTTTATTTTTCCGTCTACAACAGCGTGTCATAAATACGCTTAATTCTTCTTTTAAGAAATAACTTTGCAGAATTGAATTCTTCTCTTCTCGATCGTTGAACATCTTAAAAATAACTTTGTATCGTAAACGATTAACACGTGGAAGTAACGTGCAACAATGATTAATACATTTTTCATTTTTCATTCGTCTACAAAACTGTAAAATAAACAAAACGATAAGAAAGAACACACCTTGTTGTCCATCGAAACTCGACGATCCCCATCAACGAAGACGATAAAATTAGCATAAACCGCAATCGCGTAAACTCATTAGCATAATATTACTCGAGACACGAAAACGAAATTCGAAGGGAGACCCGTTTCATCGATCCTCCACTTTTCGCGCAGCCATTCTATTCCAGCTATATTATCCGTGTGCAGCGAACGGTTCGTCGCGCCTTCAAGTACCATATGGATGCGGTGGCTAAACGGAGGCTGGTGTTTCGTCTCGCGGAAAGCTTAATTCCCTTCGTGACATATTGTGACTAACATTGTGGCGTGGTTGGATCTCGTTACTCTCTTTCTCTCTCTCTGTCTCTCGTATTCCCGCGGGGAATATTAACGTGCACCCTGGAGAGTGGAAAACGAAAGAAGAAGAGCGAGAGTTCGATGTAAGAAACGTGGAGTGGAGGGTGGACGAGTACACGCGTTCAATGGCGGATCTCGTTTTCGTCTAACAAGTAAGCGGTGACACCCTTTCTCTCATTTTACCAGCCCCCAATATATGCATCGACACGGAGGAGGAATGGACGGCGATCGATGACGAGGATTTCTCGCTCGAGGCAAATAATCTTCCGCCCCGATGCGAACGTTGTTTTCGATCGGTGAAGCTTATCCGAGACAGAGAGCTTTCGTTTCTCTCGCCTCTGGCTAATGGTAATTTGATCGGTTATAATGGTGAATCGTTTGGTGCCTGCCTTAATTAACTCATTATCGCGATATTCGCGATAATGATGGATGGCTTTGATCAGATAACGGGTATGGAATGCCTCGTGCTCAGGATAAATATTAATTATCGCGTTATCGTTAATTGGTTGCTCTCTGTTATCGAGCGCGATCCGTTGCTCGAACGTGTCTTGAAACGTGCCTCTAACAATTTAATAACGCTTTTGAGATACTACGATGCGAATAAGAAAGAATAGTGTTACGAGGGTTAGGAGAGATGTAATTTTAATTTTAATTTTCGACGAATTAACAATTTCTTTCTTTTTCTTCTTTTCTCTTTTAAAGAAACGTTCGTTGTGAACGTTTTTATTGCATCGGAGAGGTATGTAGTAGAATTAAAGAACTATATAGAGTGTTCCATTTTCTAGGCAGAGAACGCGTGAAGGTCGACTTTAATTGCATTGGATGCATTAATAACTTTCGTAACTTGTAAAAACTCTATCGAACTACTAGTGAAAGATCAATTTCTTTAAAGGATATTTCATCGTGTAAAATACGCGGAAGATACAAACCCAAATTTCTTCGTTTCTTTCTATCTCGTGTACTAAATAATTGAAATTAAAATATCCTCTCTAAATTAATAACTTCTCCACGGAAGAAACGAAATTGATCTTTACACGACTTCTCTACTTTTTCTTACAATAAATCCTCAAGACCAAATTCTGAAACATATTTTACCTCCAAATAATCGAAATAACACGAAATTTCCTCGTTTCCATTACGTTCTTTTTTTTCCGCCCCCCTTCAAAATTACTCACCTGCCATCCTTGAAGCAGTAGGCTTCTGTCGACGGTCCTCAGCCACATGACAGCGTCGCCAGCCTGGAAGTCTCTTAAACGGGTGCATTTCCTGTGAAGGAAGACGCCGAGGCATTTGAGCAATTCCGAGGTCGATGCCTGGATCACGGTTTTCCTTGGCTTCGGAGGCAAAGGCTTCTGCACGAGCTTCTCGCACGTCGGGTTGTGCGTGTTGTGATTGTTGTTCGACGCCGGCGGTTTCGTCTGCTTCCGATAAAATGGCGGATTAATTCTTCGAAAAACTGCACGCACGCACACACATCCACACAGAGGGAGGTACTCTATCTTTCGAGCGTGAAAAGATGGGGTGGCGATAAATAATTCCATCCGTCGACCGGGGGAGTCTCGGTTTCCGTTTTAGACCGGAATCCTTGACGAGGAGGTGGGCCGATAAAAATTGAAAGGAGCTCCTTTCGAGGGAATCTCTTTGGCCAGAGGGGGAGAAAAATACACAACCGTGAAACGTAGACGGAGGGAAACGTAGATAGGATCGATATTCTTTCGATCGTATCTAGGGTCAAAGCACCTACGATGCTCTTTGCACGAGACTCGAGGTTCGAGGCTACTTGGTGGATATCTACTAGGTGAAAACGGGCCACTGTTGCCGCAATCGGCCACGTAAACCGTTGCATCATATTGCACTTATAGATAGAGGACAGTCGTTTTCGATGTCCTTGGATATTTATAAAAAGAAAAAAGAAAAATCCACGACACACGGTATTGGTATTGCGTATAACTATCCTTTCAAAATTTTATATTCATTTTATATTCAATTGATTTCAATATTAATATCGAAAAAAGTAATATCGATGAAAAAAGTTTCTCGAAAAAGGTGCCACTATAGTGGTATTTTTGTACTTTTCGAGTATTTCATGCTTCGATAATTGAATTCGTAAAAAAAATTTCAATGAACTTGAATCGAGAAGAAAAGCTCGAAAACGAAGAAAACTCACCTGAGGCGTCTGTATGTTCTTATTCTTATCGACGATGGGTATGTTATCGAGCGGTTGCCTGAACCCGATGTTCTTGTTCTTATTGTCGAGCTTCTTCTTGTTGTTGTTCGACGTGCTGAACCGTTTCCACGATAACGCGTTTATGAATAACGAGTGTTTCTTCAGGTTCTTCTCGAGGGCGTTCTTCTCCGAGATGATTCTCGCATTGTCGTTGTTGTTCAGGTTGATATTGTTGTTTTGCAACGAGTTATTGTTCGTAGGCGGATGATTCGTAGGCGGCGCCGGCGCCACCGTAGCAACGCCGCTCTTGTTCTCCCGGTTCTTCGCGTTGTTCAACTGCTCGTAATTGAAATTGTTCAACGTGAAATCAGCGGGATGCTGATGGCCCGGTGGAGGATACACGGAACCGCGTCTGTCACGCGGGCTGAACGACAACACGGTACCCATGCTGCTGGTTCGGTTCTCTACTTGTTGTTGTTGTTGTTGTTGTTGTTGTTGCGGTGGCGGTGGTGGTGGCGGCTGTGGTTGCGGTTGAGACGGTGGCTGTTGTTGCGTCTGCGTCGCCTGATGACTGGGATTTTGACTTTGTTGTCTCACGTTTTGGGGCTGGTGTCCAGGGTTTTGAGTCTGATGACCCGGATTCGCCGACTGATGACCTGGGTTCTGACTCGGGTTGCCCGGGTTTTGACCCTGATGGCCAGGATTCTGAGCCTGGTGACCTGGGTTCTGGCCCGAGGTTGGTTGCTGCTCTGCTCTCTGGCTCTGTTGGGCAGGATTGTGATGATGGGCCGGGTTCTGGGCCGGGTTCTGGGCCGAGTGGCCTGGATTCTGGGTCGAGTGGTCCGGATTCCGAGACTGGTGTTCCGGATTCTGCGTCTGTTGTCCAGGATTCTGGGCCTGATGACCCGGATTCGGAGCGTCCGAGTTCACCTCCTGGGTCTGATGACCCGGATCCTGTGTTTGCTGAGACGTAGTGGGCGGAGGTCTCGGTGGTTTCAATGTGGTAACGCGATGTGGGGGTGGCGGGGGGGCTCGGGGAACCGAGGACTCCCTCGAGGGTCCCGTCAACGGGGTGGCATCCCCTGGCTCGATGGCCTCCTCCACGACGGGACCCACCACCTCGCTCAGCCGACCTCCCAGCCTGCTGACTTCTACCTGCGATCTGGACGACCCTGTCTCCCCCTTTTCTACTTTCCCTTAATTCCCAACTTCTTCTTCTTCCTCTTCCTCTTCTTCTTCTTCTTCTTCTTCTTCTTCCTCTGTTCTATCCTCCTTCTCTCCTTCACCTTCGTCCTCTGTTTCGTAGTCGGCTGATCGCGATCGCGTACCCTCTCCTCGGCCGGAGAGAACCTCGAACGTCGTGCAGGTAACCGCGATCGATACCACGAAACAAGTGTACGCGAAAAAATATACTGCGCGATTTATTCGGCGCACACTCTTTCCTCGGCCGGATCGTGGATCGGTACGCCCGCGAGAACTTCCCTCCTCGGGTCTTACTGTCACGAGGGAAAATGTCGTCGATGCGTGGAGAAGATGTCGGTCGACGTGAGCAAAATGGCGAGCGATCGATGCCTTCCTCGCCGCCCTCCGCCTTTCCGAGGAGGAGGATCAATCGGGTGAATGAAAACACAAAAGCGACGCACCGAATACACCTCACCGAGATGTATTATTATTATTATTATTATTATTACCCTTCCTCCCTCCCTCCCTCTCGTCGTTACCTCTCAAAAGGCACGGTTACACCCGGGTTTCTCCCCGGTGAACAGCCCTCCTCCGATCCTTTCACACGATCCCTTTCGTTCGCCGTTCACCACCAGCACCACCTCGTCGTCGCACTCCCGTCGCACTCGATTTACCACTTTCCCGAGTGTCGTTGTTCCCTCCACGCGGTCCTCCCCGTAGATCCGTGGATTAGCCCGAACCTTCCTTCCCGATGGATCGATACGAGCCAACAACAAACCATCCACGAGAACGTTCACTCTTCTTCGTCGCACTCCTCTCTCGATACCATTCGAAATACCTCTCTTTGTTTACTGCCTCCCCTCCCGGGAGCTAATCTCTCGATCAACCACAGATGTATTTCGATATAATTCCTATCTCCTCCTACTATCCCAATGCTTCCTCTTCTCCCTCAGTTTTTATCTCCTCGACGAACTCGCGTACAACTCCTCGTCCCGGCAATCGCAACACACTCCTCTCGAAATTACGCGTGTAAAACCCACTTTGACCTGTACACGCTCGCGAGTACACGAGCTGTCACTGTTGACAAAGCGCGTTGTTGGCCGTATATGGTGTGTGTGTGTGTGTGAGAGAGAGAGAGTGTGTGTGTGTATGTATGTGCGTGTGCGTGTTGACAGAGCTGGTCGGGAAACAGTGGCGCGGCGAGCTCCGATTCGTGTCTGGTGCTCCCGTGTCCGCCGACGTCGCCGTCACCGTCACCTCGTCCTCGTCGTCGTCGTTGTCGTCGTCGTCGTCGTCGTCGTCGTTTCACGATCCTCTCGTTCGTTACTTCGCTCGCCCGTCCGTCCACCGCCAGTCTTTCTGCAACCAACCAACACGTAGCACGCCCCATCCCCGTTATCGCTGCGCGCGCACTCGTTCGATAAACGCGCTACGTCGATTGCACGTACGGGGGTGGAAAGAGAGATACGAAGAGAGGGGGTGCGTGCGAGAGAGAGGGAGATGGGGGAGGAGAGGAAGGGTGGGACAAGGAAGGAGAGAACACACACGCAGAGGGAGCGGAGGAGAGGGAGGATCTCCGGTCGAAGAAGAAGGGTGGCGAAGGTGAGACGAAGAGGGAGACCAGCCACGCCGCATACGCCCAAACTTTTCTTCCGTTCTTTCGTCGTCGTCGCCGCCCTCTCCTCGAATTTACGAATTTACCACCCCCTTCCACAACCTCTCTCGAGGCCCTTACGCCGCGAATGTTTGGCCGGAAGAGACCTGAACGTAGGTCGAGATTCTATCCTCGACGAGGAGGGCTGACGTTTCTCGACCCCCTCCTAGTAGACCCCTGCTTCCCGCTATGCGGTTTTCGACTCGACCACCGACAATTTTACGCCACGGATTCTTCTCTTTTCAGCGATGGTTGAGGCATCGACGCGTTTCTGGGGTGTACGGGCGGTGTATGCATGACGTTTGCATGGAAATTTAGGTTAGATCGATTGGATCGATCGATGAGGACGAGGAGGGAGGAGGATCTTTCGTGGACCTTTCGCGAAAAAAAAGAAGGATCGCAAATGAAATTTTGTGCGAATGAAAAATCGGCCAACTCGTGACTCATCTTTATCTTACGTTTTATACGGATAGTATAATCTTTTGTGTAAATATTTTAAATGCGATTTAAGTATTATCGGTGTAAATTTTTTTTCCGAAACAAAAACATCGATCACAACAGCGATGCCATTTAAGTCGTGTCAAACGAGATTTCTTTTAAGGAAAAAAAAAAAAAGAAAAAAAATAAATATTTTCCGATTCCGCAATAAATTCTCGAGGTTTACATAAGTGTTGTAAACGTGGCACGGACGGAAGAACATCCTCGAGATTCACACGTGACAGATGAGAATCTTGCGGATACAGATATAGAAAATTGTACGTCACAATTTTTATATATTTTATGCAAATTGTTCAAGGCCTCTCGAAAGGTCGTGACACTTTTCTATCTCCCATCTGTCGTGACGTTTTATTACATTTCTCTCTATATCTGTTGACACATCTTTCACACGCGTTTCATAGCGTGTGTAATTAAGCTCGCGGCTATAATAACACTTTCGTTCTCTACGTTCTCCTTTTTCCCCTCCCAAAACAATGTTGGTTATCAATGAATAATATAAATACCAGTGTTTAGAGAAATATTTCCTACAGTTCCTGAGAAACGACAATTCACGTCCATTTGATAATTCCACACTCCTTGAACGTTCCAGATTTACTCAGCCTCGAAGCATGTAGTAGGAAACTGTTCCAAGAATTGTATACAATATCGGTATTATTCTCTTCTTGAAAACAAGACGTGCTCGAAAGATAGACCGATATGTGTGTGTATGTATACGTATAAACAACGTGTGCAACGTGTATTTATCGTTATCTGACGTTTCACGTCACATTCGAAACGTGACCACGCGACATTTGTCTCGACGAGACACCCGATATGTATGACGTTTTTCTTTTTTCATCCCACTCGCATCGCTCGACCTACTGAAGCACACATTCCACAAAAGCTGATCGAACGTTCTCCATCGAACACCTCCTCCTCTATGCACGCCCCTCCCTAGAATAAAAGTCAAAATTCCAACTAAACGCTTCCCTTGAATTTGTTTTCGATTCTCGGGGACTCGTTTCTCTTCGATTTCGCGATTATTAATTGGCCCTTGATTAAATATTTTCTCCGTTGAATTTTCTTCGAACGTGTAATTTGCCGAACGCAAACTTTGTTAAAATAAACATGATTATACGGGAATCGAATTTCTCTTTCAACACACATAATAATTTCCCGCCAGAAATGGATGTATATATATATATATAGCTCGAACGATGATTCGTTGGATTATTGGAAACAAGGTCGAAAACACGATGGAGGATTATCGTTAACAGGCGGAAAGATGAGATGATTAAGATGAGAGCAAAAAAAAAGAAGAAAGAAAAAAAGGAAGAATGAGAAATTCGATCGGGGGCAGGATACATCGATTAATACGACGCGCTAATTAACGTTTCATTTAACAACCAGGTGAATCTAGTCCGCTTTGATAGATGGTGGAAAGATTCAGCATGATGCGAGGACAATCGTTACGACACGCAGCAAAAAAAAATATTCTACGACAAAAATATATATATATATATTTTATTACATCCTCAAAAATTAAAGAATTAATTTTTATCTTAATAACTATTTGAATATTCCTTAAGCTTAACTTTGTTTTACCATTATGGGGATTAAATATTCCAAAAAAAAAAGAACTCTCCTAAAAATTTACTTTCTCTTTCATTCCTATTCTCCTGCTGTCCAATCTGCTTTCATCCGTGCGAAAGAAAATCGATGGATGGCGTTTACGGAAAAGAAGTCCAAAACTGATAAACGCATCGCATTCTTGACCGGTCGGTCGTCGAGAAGACTCGAGAGAAGAGAAGAGAAGAGAAGAAGGGTCGCTTATTAAAAGATGAATCCGTGGACACGGTGCCAAAGCGTATCGATCCCCGTCCCTCCGTGCTCTGTGCGGGGATTTCAAGTCTTTCTCGATTCGAGAGGGTTATTATTTCCGTCCGAAACAATCGTTCTCATCCATTCGCTTTTAAACCGTTAATCGGCCGCGATTACCCGGCCAATTTCTCGTCTCGAACGAAAGCTGTGCAAGTGTTCTTCGAGTTCCAGTTTCTTTCAGGATACGTGCGCGATGGAAACTGTTACAAGGTTCTCGGTTCGAGAGAAGGGAGAGAAATGTCGACTAGTTTACTTCGCGGAGATCCTGAGCAGAGAACTGACCGGGTCGAGTTTATTAAAGATGCACGAGCATCTTGAAGCCTTGGCGAATAGTTTCGCCGACCCTGCATCGTGGTGTTAATTCATCGCGGCGTTTATCATTTCAAGAAGTTCGGGGCGGAGTATTAAAGCGGCCGTGTCGTTCCACATATTAAACACGTTCCGCGACTATATTGTTCCGCCCTTTCAGAACGAGGGGAAGGGGGAAACAGCGAATTTGTACAGTTTACGGAAGAAATTCTTTTTTCGAAATTGCTTAAACATTTCCACATCGATTGAACGGGAATTTTTTTAAAACTCTATCGATTTTACTTGCTATGTTGACCAACTTTCGAATACGAAGATTGATCAATGATATTTTTTTTTTAAACAATCCGCTTCGCATCAGTTGTTATTTCATTTTCACGATAGCGTTTCGTTTGATTTTAATTATGCAAGCAGATACTTTCGAAATGAAATTCGAATTCGTTCAAATTTCGTTAATCCTCTATGGAATACTTTTCGAGATATTAAACGAAATTTACAAAATTTACAGACGCTTTGAAATAAAATCGTTATCGGCGGGATAATAAGAGATTAAAAAGTTATTCGTCCGATTCGTTTTCGCCTGTCCATCTTTCCTCTTTATTTCAACCAACAATGAAGAAATGATTAAAGTTCCATTTAAGGAAAAAAGGATCCCGATATTATAATAGGAATATTCAAACAGGTTGAAAACGAGGAATTCACGGATAGAGGGATGCTGGAGGCACGGCCGTAAGGAATAGGAAAACTCTGGGCAAGATCTGGAGGAGAAGGTAAACAGGTCGGCGTGGAAATGGAATCAGCGAGATCTCTCGGCTTTAAAGGATTTCCCTGGCTGCCTGACCCGAATGGATCCGCTGAGGCTTCCGCGTCGGATTTCTGGATACATGTATTCTATTAATACCGACAAGTCGATGCGTCTGCCGTTTTCCACGCGAGAAAAACACGTAGCTCTTGTCTCGTCACGCACGTGGCGATCGGATTTTTCTCCGAGTTTTTTCGCGCAAAACACGTGTCTTCGCGCTTAAAAATTTGAATGTAAGCAATTATAAGGAAGCCAAACTGACATTTTCGCTCTGACTTTTATAGAAGGAGAAAGTAGATCGATATTATTTAATCTTTGAACAATTTCTTTTTTTTCTTTTTAATAATAACAAAAAAATAAATTCTACGTTATGACGTTTATTATCTCTCCATCTAAAAAATGTATCGAAAAGCTTTTAGGTTATGTCATGTTATGTGGAAAGCGAATAAAAAGCTGTTGTGAATATTACATTTTCCAAAGGGAATCGATTTGAGCCGAAATTGTGAACGCGTTTGTGTAAAATGCTTTTTAATGTAATAACATTAACCCCATCTTTTCCACGATTGCACGATAATGAACCTAATATTATGTAAATTGCAACCATGTAACCATCCGCATTAATCCAACTTTCATTCCCTTCCCTGCACCTCGAATCATCCGTTTGAATTATTCAAACGCACGCGCTCCACCTAATTGAATTTTCCCCAAGTTACGTCACACTGACGAGGAAAAGAATCATGGTGGCCAGGAGCATCGTGCGCGCCTCCTCCTCCTGTTCTCCGACTCGTCAACAAAATATTCGTCGGTAATCGCTCACCGAGGAAACGCCGGGTTTGGTTGCGTGCCAGCAAGTAGTAAAACCCGTCGCGGGTCAGACACGATACGAAGAACTCTCTTCGATTAATTAAGCGGTGTAACAAATCGACCGTTTCGTTAAACGGAGAGAAGAGAAGAGAGGAAGAAGAAGAGGAAGAAGAGAAAGAAAAGAAAAAAGGAAAAATATCGGTGCTTTTCTTACGGTGCTTCAACAACAGAGCAAGAGGGGTAGATCACGGTGAAAACACGAACAAAACACGAATTATCCATTAATTCGGTTGCTGCGGTGACTGCTGCGGCCTTAAAATCCGGGGGTGGCTCGCGCCAAAAACTTGCACGACGATTGAACAAAAAAGTAAAAGGAAAAAGGGGCAAAGCGTGGGGGCCGAGCGATATTTGCCGAGCGTAAAATTGCTTTTGGCGTGGATCGCGAAAAGAAAAATGAATTTTAAAGCCCGGCTTTATAGCCGTTTCTGTTGTTCCGCCGATTCCTTCGAGAAAATCAATTTCTGTTTATTATAGCGGAAATATCGGGCTGATCGCGATTGCGATATTTTCGATCACTCGCTTTCCCTTGTTCCTATCTTTATGATTATATCGTGTTTGTGGGGAAAAAAAAGAAAAAAACCATCCATCCACGAGAAAAATAATGAAGACGATGATATTCGAATCCGTGATAATCGCTTTTTAAAATTATCGAAAGCCACAATTTATTCCCGATTTACAATATAATATTAATCATTAATATACATTCCCCAGCATAGAATTTTCCATAAATCTCCCCGCTCTAATCTCGTCCGCTTTCTTCGTGGAGCTCGATAAGAAGCTTTTCTTCCATAAATAACTCGAAATGGGTCACGAAATACCCTATAATTAATCCCAAACAAAAGAAAGTACACAGAGAAATATTAATAAAAAAGAGAGAGAGGGGGGAGAGAAAATTCTCTAACACGAAGGATGGAAGGGAGAGGAGGGATGGAGAGCGGCGTCTAGCCGCGTGTAGTCGGCCGTTTCGCATAAAAGGGCCGCTAACGAAGCTCTGATTGCAGGTCGGGGCGATTTCGATCGGACCGTGATAAAAAGTCGACTCGAGCAATAGCTAGTCCGAGCTTGGGGCGGCCGTTGTAAAAGCGTACTAAAAATATAACGCCTGCTCGCGCCGCGTTGGCGTGAAAACCGCGGCTCGTTCACGCGGCGTGTCTATCGATGTGACCCCGATACCAGCCTCTGGAGGGAGAGGGAGAGAGAGAAAAAAAAAACAACCCCCGCTTTTATCGCGAGCGATAAACTGGCAACGCCCGGCCGAGAGCGTCATCTCGATGTTCCACGCTGTCGCCAGAACGTCTGCTTCTTGTATATTTGAACACGAGATGTGCGTTTCAACCTTCGAGAGGTGACTCTTACTTTTTTTATATATAAAAATTTGAAGATTCAGAGGCAAGAACGCGTTACTAACAAATCCATCGTTCCCTTTCGTTTTCCTACAAGGATTTTGAGCGTTTTGCAAAGTTGAAAACGATATTTTTTAAAAGACTGACAAGATTATTTTCCTTTGTAAAAAGAAATTTTATGGAATGGAGTTTATCTCTATATTTGAGATACTTTTTATTTCAAGTGCGAAAGATTTTGGTAGACGAGTTCTTTTTTTTATTTCGTAGGAGATTATTTACCCTTGCTTACTGTTTCATTGGAAAGGGTTGTGCTTCGCCATCGGTCTTGTAACATTTTTTCGAAACGCGTTTCATCTTGGCTCGTTCTATAAAAAAAAAAAAAAAAAAGAATGCAACGCACAGTGGTTATTTATAAACCGGGGTACATAGACGTTCTATTTTCCCGTGCCGCTTTCAAAGAAGCCCGGTCCCAAGGATATCGTACGCTCCGCTACCTAAGGAAAACGTGTCACATGGGGTTGAAAGTGCATCTCGAGAATTATTGGCCGTTATATACATACAGGTGGCCAGATACCTGGGACTTTAGGAGGAGAGGAGGATGACGCGTGCCGTCGAAGGAGGAGGAGGAGGAACAATTAATAAATAGTTGAGGAGGGAAGTTGGAAGTGGGTGAGTGGAAATTTTCTCCTTGGAAACTGGAGGAATATGGGGCAAAGATCGGCCCCGTTATTTGTCGCGAAAAACTTTCTTCTTATTATATAAACCTCTGGGAACGCGATATTTTTTTTAAAAGAACGTTCGCTAATCTAGGAATTTTAACGTAGCTATGTTAACATAAACTTTCCTTTCGTTCGAAAATTTTAATCTAAATTAAGAAAGAAAGGCTAAAATTATCTGTTCACGACGGAATAAGAAACTCTCTCGTTCTTGATTTATGATAAAAAAAAGTCTAATAACGAGAGAATATCGGCTAGAAGAGCTACTAGACTCGGAATTATGATGTAATACGATTTAAATCATAGGATAACTGATCGTCCATCGAGGAATAATAACCTGTTTTCTTCGAGTGGTAAAATAAATTCCCTCTTCTCGTTTATAATAAAAAAAAAAAAAAAAAAAATTCAACGAAAAAAAAAAAGTATATTTAAAAAAAAAGGGGAGGACCAAAAACTTAGAATTATTACGAAATATTACAAGCGGATGATATTAAAGGGAGAATAAGTGGATCTTTAAGCAAATCCACGAAGGAAGTCTTTATGAAACAGCTGACTCGGTGTAAAACTATCAGTCAGCAGAGTCCAGACATAGCGAAGAACATCATCCCCTTTAGAAGGGCTCCAGACAGACGAACCCTCCAGGCAACAGCCCTCTGTCCCCTCCCCCTCACCGACGACCGTCCCATCGCCATAGCAACCCCTTGGATCCAGCAACCAGCCTAACCAACCGATTTGCCCACCCTCTCAGTCCTGTTCGTTGTTCGAACATTTACATCAAACACGCCGTTCTTTTTATTCTCTCTCTCTCTCTCTCTTCTTTTTTACGTACGCACTCAAAATCAGGCAATCCTTTGTCTCCCCGTTGTGTGATACAATCCCGTGTGTACGGAGAGTGGAGGGTGGAGTGCCTTTGCATCGGCGATTTCAATTTACCTTCCATTTTTGCGATTGGGTTGGATGTTACGGATCGTTGCGTACCACCACGCAACCTTGTAATTGCAAAGTTCCGTTTCGAAGGAACCGCGTCGGATCAATTGCGAAGAAGGTTCAGACACTCACGTTGCGTTGCCTCGTATCAGAGGCAATCGCATCGATTCCGTGAATCGTTGTTCCGAGAAACCACTTTTCCTTTAAACGAAGCGAAGCGCCAAAGGATTTGGATTTCACCTCTCACCGAATGCACATTCGTACATAAATTAATTATTTTTTGGACAGACACGAATCTCCAATTTTCAACTTCGTATTAAATTTCGATTTCCAAAAAAATTTTAATTCTATCAATTTTAGTACCATTTGGTTGCTTGTTATTTCTTCTTCTTTTTTATCAGTTTGCGAGGGGAGTAAAAGTTGGTCGTAGAGGATGGCTGTTTCGTAGACACAGCCTTAATCCGAGCATAAAATCGCATGGCCGGGATAAAAGATTCTCTCTCTATTCGAAGGGGCCGATTACGATAGAAATCGTCGTTTCAACGGAACAAGGCATGCCGTTTTCGCAACGTGAATACGTCGCGCGATAGTTCAGCGAGCCGAATGATGACCGCAATTTTCGAAATTGCCGCCACTTTTTTTCGCCGTATCCACCGCCTCAATCGCCTACGTCACGGACCCGTTCTTTTCTTCGACCTTCTTAAAACGACCAACCACCGTCGGCATTCCGCCAGTAGCCGCCAGTATCGTAATTCGTGACAATAGCCAAGACAAATAAGACACGAGAGTTTTCAAAAAACAATTTATCGTTCGTTCGAGCAAAAGAAAAGAAAAATCTTGATCCAAGAAAAATGTTCACCTTCGTAAGAAGAATAATTTTTCCATTATTATTAAACGCGTTTGCAGTTTCATTCCTCGCCCAGGATGCAAAAACTACGGTGTTTCCGCTCCCCGGAAATGGCTCCGTTCTCGAATCATCAGCCAGAGTGGAAACTGCGCTTCAACCGGATATGACGCGTTCTTCCGAGCTTCTCGCGCATCCCTCCACCGCACCTGTCAATAATTTTCTCCTCGGTAACGTTTCGCGCGTCCTTTGACACGCGATTGTGTCGAGCCCAAGCGTAAGATAAAAGTTAGACAATGCGAATGCGATTTTCAGCCCCCCAAAGGCCTTACATTCATCTGAGGAGCGACAACGTGCCGGCTTACGTGTACGATCATCCGCATTTCGGATATCCGGTGGCGCACTCGATCGATTATCCGGTTGGACCGTCCTCCAAGCAGCTTATGATAGTCAGTTTCATCGGTTTGTTGTTGCTGTTCGCCGTTATTCAGAACACGATCGTGAACGTGAAACGAAGAGAGCTTCTCACGGATGTGCTCTCGGCGAGGAAGAAGAGAGAGCTTTACGCTTCGTACAACTTTGACTCCGTGGTAAGATTTTTCTCTCTCGTCTCTCTCTTAAAGTGACTTATACAAATGCTTGAGCTTTTAAGTCGACCTCCACTTCCTTCGTAGAATCGGGGATAAATTATTTTTTCTCAATAAGTACGATGTTCGTACGTTCATTTGTTATAGATGAAATTCTAAAAGGTTAAATTCCTCGTTAAAGAACACTATTCTATATATTTTTCATAACGGTTGAAGAAGCGAGTTCCAGGACTTGAAAGTTTTAAGGGTAATTACAGTTCTCTTTTCGGCTCGCAGACACCGGAACAGGAAGAGGTGCTCGACGAGGACGCGAGGGTGAGATGCATACAGAGGACCGTTTGCCTGGAGAATCGAAAGCTCTTGAAGGCGTTCGGCGCGACCGGCAAGATACTGGCCAAGTACTTGACGTGAGTTCACTACGCCCCCCTCCGTTATATTGCTTCGCGGCCAGTTCTCCAGCCGAGACAATGGCGCAGAAATTTAATATTCCAAGTGTCGTCGGCCGCGAAAGACACGGAATCTGGACCGAGATAACTCGCTCCTATTTCTCCAAATGCCATTTGCACGCGCCACAGGAATATTAAACGCGCTCCTCGTACGCGACACGGGGGAGGAGGGGCACGTGTAGTTTCAGAGCAACGAGATGCTGAGGTCGTGCGCGTTTGCTTTCAGACGAAGCGTGGAGAAATCTCTCGAGTCATCCTCCGGATGGTTCCGTTTGGTCCGGGACGCGGGCGAGGCTGGGATTCGTGGCGAGGACTGCGAGGTGCTTTACAGGGGTTGCGACGAGCGAGTTCCTTCGAAGGATGCATCGCGATAGATCGATAAGACGATGATAACACGTTTCATCCATTTACCCAGATTTGGAATATTTTTTTTTGCTATTGTTTTTAATAGAGATTAAATTATCAAATTGGCGGAAGAAGAGATTCGTATACTATTTCGATTAATGAAGAGTTAGTTTTAGTTAAAATAAAATTGACAAATTATATTTAAATTGTTTTCGCGTGCACGAATCTAATGATAGATGTGTATTTTTTTGTATTTAAAAAAAAAAGAAAAAGAGGGACAAGGAGAAAAAAGGTTGGATCGATCGATCGGACGAATAAAAAAGCGGGCGGTATTAATGACTTTTAATTTTAATTACAATATGCTGTGTTGTGTTTTTTTTTTTTTGTTCTTTATCTGCTACAAACATCGACATCTAGCCTGAACTATTTTAGATAGCAGTCCGCTCTCTATACACGCTCCATTTATACTCACTCCCTCTCTCTTTCTCTCCAATCTCGTTCTCTCTCGTCGTCGGAATTATAAAAAAATATCAAATCACGAACAGAATGGAGACAAACCGCCGCACCTACTGCACCACCCTTTTGTTTGCTACTTTTTGTCCTCTCGTTTCACGTCAATATATATCTCGCTTCGCGTTTGCTTCGTTCGTTATTTCTCTCTCTTTCTGTTTACCACCTCCCCCTTCCTTTCGATCTATCTATCTATCTTGCCACGATCCTCTTGTATCCAGCCTCGCGTCACAACTAATTATACAAGTAACGCTATACCATTATTATCGTTTATATAACATTAAGGCATTACATATTTATAAATTCTTCGTGTTCACTCGCCACTATACAGCAATACCACGTTAAACTCGTAAACTTATGCTTAAATAGACGTGAGATCGCTCGTTGCAATAGTCCAGGCTTCAAAGGGGAAAAAAAAAAACACAAGAGAAAAAGAACATTGTGTGTGAAACAAGCTTCTTCAGCAAACCGGGCCGGAAGTGGTCTCGATACACGCTGTCCTTTTCTTAAAACTTAAAAAAATAATCCACTTCCTCGGGAGGATATTTTCGTCTCTGTATTTTTTTTCTTCTTCTTCTCCTTTTTCGAATAATCTACCACTAGTTTAGTTCTTTCTCGACGACGAAGAAATTCAATTTTTAAATTTTATCCAACTTGATCGCGTTAAATTCATTTTTTGTTTCTCTCTCTCTCTCTTTTGCCGCGCAAACAAACAAAAAGAATTGGGAAAAGAACGAATATTCGGTTCGAAGACCATCCGGTGCCAGATGCAATGCGCTCGCATTCTTTGTTCCGGCTTTTCCTTCTTTCCTTCCATTCTCGCACAACCCTTTTGTTTGCCCGCTTCTTTCACACTGAACGCACACACGCACATCGTATACACACACACACATACACACACAATATCTCTTCTTTTCTCTCTCTCTCTCTCGACTATCACTTTGCACGCACGCAGCTTAAAAGTCCAGCTAATTATCGTATCGACAATAAATTAGACACATTTGTCGAGGCAACGTAGTTTTGCACAGGCAGGCGGCAGGCAGTTCACAAAAAAATATCTCGAAATATCCATATTTTTTTTTCATTTTTGTTTTCGCAACTCTATTTCCATTTCTTGGTTTTCGAACACATTTCCTTCGACGGCAAAAGTTGACAATTGGCCGCTCTCTTCTGGCGATCGATCGATCGATCGAGGTATCGGCTTTTTTCTTCTTCTTCTTTTTTTTTTTCTTTCTCTATATAATGAAAATTACGTAAACTAATCTTCCTGTCCGTTCCTGATTCGCATATTTCTATAATTCGATAAAATAACTAACAACGGAAGTCGTAGACATGAATCAAACGGATAAAGTTTTTAAAATACAGTTAAAAATATAAAACAGTTGACTCGATTGTGTCATCGGATCGATCGATCCTCGTGTCGAACTGTGGATAAAACAATATCGACCAATGTGTTCCGAATATAAAACAAATATAACATTGTTATCAAAATCGAAAGCAGAAATGTGTTCACCCGGGGAAGGGTATCGTTCAACAACATCGTACAAACAACAGAACTTAAAAAAAAAAAAAAAAAAAAAAAAAAAAAAAAAATTAAATGCAGGTTTCAACGTAAAGTCATTATATCTTCAAAAAAAAGAAAAGAAAGAAGAAAACAATGCAACAAGATAATCTAAATTAAAAATTGACAGAAAATGAAATAAAAATAAAAAAAAAAAAAAAGAAAAAGAAAACCAAAAAAGCAAAATCACGAACGTAAAGTTGGAAGACACGTAAAATACGCTATATATATGTATAAAAAAGAGGACAAAACGCGTTGGAACAGAACACGAATACGCGGCGGTATAAAAACACGTTTCTTTACTTTTTACTTGCTTTATTCGCAGTAATCCATCATCTTTCGTCCAATCGTTAATGCGATTTAAATAATAGGAAGTCTTCATGGGCGCGTTCCGGAAGTGTCGTCGCTCGGATCCGAAAGGAAGTAAGAAAAAGAAGTAAAAAGAAAAAAAAAAAAGGAAGAAAAAGAACGACAAGCCACGAAGAGAACGTGCCCAATCTTTCTCTCTCAATCCAACACTGTCGATCGATCGATCGCGTTTAATTAGATCGTTTCTCCTACCGTACAAAAACTGAATTCACAATTATGCCGACTAACACGATATAATTGATTAATCAATTAAACTATATCGAGCCGATACAATAATAATAATAATAATAATAATAATAATAATAATAATAATATTAATATTAATCATTAATTAATAATATATACAACATTCTAAACGCTATATCTTTTTCTTGTTCTGTCTCATATGCTTGGAACGTGACACGCGCACGAAGAAAAAACGAAAAAGAAAAAAAAATCAATCGCTTGTTTTTTTTTTTTTTATTATAGAAAATAATATAGGTACAACACGACGGTAGCAAGATGGAGGAGAGTGTGATTCGCACGGAAAAAAGATAATGTCTTCTCGACGCTCGCGCGCGCGCGTGTGTGCGTGCGTGTGAATCTCACTTCCTTTTTCCTCTTTCTCTCTCACACTGCACTATCGTCGGTGATATTTCTCTCATTCTCTTTCTTTCTCTCGTTTTTCGAAACGCGCGTTTTTCCAAAGACGAGTGTCCAACACTCGCATTTTTTTAAATCTTTCCTATATACGTTGTTTTTTTTTTTTTATACCTTATACAATTTCTTTTTCTTTTTACTCGCTATTTATGTGCTCTGTTTACTTCCACTTGGTTTCACGCATACAAGATAATACATGCACGCGACGTCCGCGTCGCGCTCGAGAGAGAACCGTTCTCTACTTTATATTATTATTATTTTAGTTTTATTTTCTTCTTTCTTTCTTTCTTTCTTTCTTTCTTTTCTTTTTTTTTTTTTCTTACAAACGAGGCAGAGGTTTCGACGAACGGCGTATAACCACGACGAAGACGTCGAGTCACTTATGATCGCGGTAAATCCCTTTTTTCACCGCCACGCGATACCAACACGCGACACACACGTTGCCCGAAATATACATGGCTACAAGTTTCAAAACATTCGCGACGAGCATTGATGCGCGAAGGAAGCACGTTGCAGCGCGCATTATCGCTCGACCAATCAACACGTGCGAAGAACTTTTTCGTTTCGCTCGTTCGTACAATCACCCTTTTCTCCTTTTTATTCCATCCGTTTAGGTAGATCCTCCTCCATCCTTTCCTCCTTTCTTCTCTTTCCTTTGCCACGAATCTTTAATTTGTTCCTTTTCTCTTCTCGCCGATTTGTTCTCCCTTGGCCGAAGGTTCCGAGGCCTCGACCGAGAGGAGAAACGAGTGAAGGTGAACATTGCTCTAACAGCGAGTTTGGGTGTGCGTATTGAGGACCGCAAGATCACGAAGCAGTGGTTGCCGATTGCGAGATCGTGCGTGTCTTTGAGAACGGCTTTTAAATCGATGGAATTGATGAAATAATGGTAAGAAACGTGGCCACGATGTAAAACTTATATGTATATATATATATATATATAAAGAAAAAAAAAGAAAAGGACAGTTTTCTTTTCCGTTTCATAAAGAGATGCAACCGTATGTCTGGCCAGACAAACTGGAAGACGTTATATTATTTTTTTCTTTTTTTTTTTTTTTTGTTAAAAGACGAGCTCTGCAAGAAAACTCGCTTTTCTGTTTAGAGAGAATGAACAACGATGCGTGGTATCAAGCAAAACGTTTACTTTCGTCTCTCGAAAGTTGGGAAAAAAAAAAAGAATCAAAGAAAGAGATACTCTCGTGAATTAAATGGAAAATAAAAATGGTGAGCTGTTTTCATTGACAATTTTTCCTCTTTCGCGTTATTCGCATGCGAATAGAATTCTGTATACTTTTTTCTTCTTTCTTTTTCTCGCATTCGGTTCGTCCTTACGGTCTTGGATACAATGACTACCCACAATACATTCATTGTCGTACCGATAGATATTATTATAATTATACCCTATGTACAAATCGACATCGCCGATAAACGGCACATTATCATTAAACTTAAGCGACAAACGTAAGATTAAAGAGTTACTAGGGACCAGTCATAATTTGTCATGCTAATAGTATAGGTAGCAACACGCCCGATATAATTGTTTTATCTATCATTATTATCCCATTCATCACTATCATCATCATTATCGTGACCATATTTCTAGATCGTCGCTATGATTTTTCTTTCTTTCTTTTTTTTTTTTTTTCTAGCGTTATAATACACTCATTAACACTCTCGCACGCCGTTGTCTCAGGCAGCTCTTTTTCTCTCCTCGAGACAGTTTTAATTCGTGTTTGGAATCTAATCGGCCGTAATATGCGCATGTTCTTTCGCTCATTTTAAAAGTTTAACTACGATACAATTAATCTTCATCGTTTTCTTCTTGTTTTTTGTTTTTCTCTTCTTTATATCACTTCAATCAACTTAATCGAGGTAATTATAATTTCTGTCTCTCTCTCCCATTTTTCCCGAATATTTTTGTCCAAATAATCGTGTACGCCATAAATTTCAACACCTTCTTTCTTCTTACCCATTTTAACGTTCCGCTAAAATATCATTTAGAGATAATTTCTAGCTGCGATACGTATGCTTTTCTCTCGGGGCTTTTTCTAACTAAACGATAAACAAAATAAAACAAAATACGAAAAATCGGAGGCGTGTTACTTATTAAATCATATATATATATATATATATATTTATTTATATATATTTATATATGTATATCTTAAAGTTCTCTTTCGTTCCCTTTCGTGTCCATCCACGAATCATACATACCACTATATTTCATTAGACCTAGCATGCTTAGAAAATACTTGAAAAATGAGTCTATTGGAAGGTGGCTGTTCGATCGGCTGGCTTTTTTCACTGTACACACATTTTTCTTTTCTTTTTTTTTTTTTTTTGTACAGTTCATAACAATTGTTTCCGCAACGTGCGGTTAAGAAATCTTCTTTTCGAAGTTTCGACGAATTTCTCCTCTTCGTTTAAAATCGCGAAGAAATTTATTTCCGCTCCGTTGTCTCCTCGTTTCTTATTCGCGCATTATTGTGGCTGGACTAGAACAAGCCCGCTACCCACTGTTGATTGAATAATCGAAACGTTATCCGTTATCAGCCTTCAAACTCGATTAAGTGTAACGTTTTACTGGCCAACTATATGAAGAGCTGTTTTCCTTCTTTCCGATCACTTCTTGTCGATCACTCTTCTCTATCTCTATCCGAGCCACGTGCGTGTATTCTCGTCCGTATAATCTGGTCCTCTATTTCTTACAGCTTGTATCTTCTTCGTCACACGCAGAACGTTCTAATAACGCGATAACTTAAAAAAATTACTAGAAAAAAAAAAAAAAAAAAAGAAGGAAAACTAAAATAAGAAAAAAAAAAAAAAGAATAAAAAGATAACAGCGCCGAGCGATGTGCACGAAATGCTTATCGAAATGCATCGTGCGCCATTTTTTTTTTTTCTATTAATTATCATTATTAACAATTGATAAAGACTTCGTCACGATTTTAATCGCATAGACGTTAACACAAGACAACAATATCACCTAAATAATTCGCTAGTCCCGATACGATTCGCGTATGCGTCCCGTATGTTCGTGCCATTTTATTTAGAAAAAAATTCTTTTCTTTTTTCTTTCATTTTACAGCGTACACATCTTGATTTTATTCGGGAACGACAACGACGATAACGATCAGGTTAACAACGACAATGACAACGAGAATGATGAACATATGAGAATGACGACGAATAATCATGCCAGCGATGATGGTGAGGATGATGAAGACGATGACGACGACGACGACGACGACGACGATGATGAAGAAGACGACGTCGACGTCGACGACGACGACGAAGACGACGATGACGACGACGACGACGACGACGACGACGAAGACGACGACAACGTACGCGACCACGAAGATCGTGCTCGTCTCGACTTATCCTGACATGGATAGAAACACCATGGATCGTAGAAGCGGCTTATGGGCTGGTGTGCTCGGTGGCATGCGACGGGGTAGCGGGCGTTCCCCTGTGCGTCGTGGTGGCAACGATTCAATAGCGCGGTGGTGTTCACAGTCGTAATCGTGGTTGTAGTATTTACGGAGCTAGCACTCGGTAGTTACCTCCTGTCACGATACAGGAGATAAGTCTTCACCGCTAACGGCAGGCTCAACGCATTCACTTTCTCTTCTATCTTCTCCTTGCCGATTCGTTTCCGGATCACTCTTCGACAGAGGTCCATCAAAGGCAGAGGTTCGGCTAAAATAAGATACATACTTTGTTACTACAGTTCTGACATCACTATACTATCGTAGTCGTATTAATTAGTAGTTAGATTCTAGAGACTACTTACGATCGAGTCCACCGATATATTTCATCGTGATCTCACAGTGTCCCCAAACAGCGGATACAATGGGATGAAGTTTCTTGCCTTTCAGGCCTTTAAACGCGACGCCAAGATATTGGCCGTCAACGACAAACGCTAACGTGCCTTCATCCATGTCCAAGACCACTGGAAAAATAATAAAGATATATTTTCCTTCGTTCAAGTGCATATAAAACATTGAGACATCGAGTATTACATTTTTAATACCGCGGAGGAGAATAATTACCTAGGAATTTGTCAGGAACAATGAACGTTTCATCGGACTTGAGAAGAGCCGGATAAGTGATACCGGTATTGTTCTTCGAGTCGTGGAGGAGTTTGTTCCTACCGAGATCCCAACCCCAGCTTTGCTCATTGTTGCCCACCAAACTCTGATAACCGACACTGTGAAGGGGTGCTTCTGCCGTCGCAACGCCCACCACGGCGTGCGTGCCTCTTTGCCTCGTGCTCCAGAACAGCTCCCAGACGTGCATTCCTTTCGTGTACCCTACCCTCCCTCTTATGCAATCTGTGCTTTGGGCCACGGGATGCCGGTGAAATGTCAACTTGTCATCATCCTGAAACGGATCGTTGATAAAATTGATTTAAAATTTTTCAAAGTTTTAACAACGTTTCATCGCGTAATTAATATAATTTTGCAATGTTCACATCGGATATTTCTTTCTTTTTTCTTTTTTATTAATTTGCCAAAGATTAAAGACAGAGTGAGTCAGATTACGTACCTTAACGAATATGTTGAGACTACGATCGTTGGCGTTCCAGCTATGATGAATTTGTGTTTCCCGCGAAGCGGGTGGCATGTCGAGAAGGACATCGAGCCGTGGCGGCCTCGCGAAGTGTTGCGCCAGCTCTCTTGGTACCACTGGTTTGTAAGCTACGACGCCGCCACCGCCGACGCCGACTCCACCGACAGCTCCTGCTGTAGCCTCGCGTGTCACGCTTTTAACCCCTCCTGCAATAGGCAAAAATCCATCCAATTACCAACCATCCTCCTTACACGCCAATAACGTTTCTGTCCAAGATGTAAAAGACTTTTGTTCTCTTGATTCTTCTACAATATAAAAATTTCGAATTTTCAGAGAGAGAGAGAGAGAGAGTGAGTGGTAAGATTATCCATCATCCCTGTCCTACGCACGAAATGAAGCACGAATCAAAATGTTATCTCTTTTCATTTCCCTTCCCTCACCCGGACAGAGATTTCTCACTTTCGAGCGGCGAGTTCTGTTTCCTAGAACGCCTACCTTTACGGACAACTGACACGCTTGCTCGGTTGAATATATCGCGCGAAAATGAAAGCGTGGACGAAATTTCATCCGCCAGGAATTTCCACCGGCGGTCGTTATAAATAATTCAGATCGCGATCCGTGGGATTCTCTCGGATGCGGTTCATCCACCAGCATGAGGAGGAGGAGGAGGAGGAGGAGGTGGAGAGATATACCTGGGTAGATTTGTCGAGGAAGAGAGAGAGAGAGAGAGAGTGGAAGAAAAATAACGAAGGGTCCTCCCCCCCTCCCTCCGGCGGGCGCAGCAGCAGGCCTTCGTTCAAGGTTTTCGAAAGTTCGCCATCTCGTTCTCCCTCGATTCGGCCGGGCCTCGAGAGACCGATATCCTTGGATGCCGGTTTATTTGCTCTGGCAGCTGTTCCCCCTAGCGCGAGCGCCGTTCGAGGGTCCTGGAACGAGGAGGGTTCTGGAAAGGAGCTCGAGGATTTCAAAGGGTATGCTATCTCGTTCCCTCCAACAACCGAAAAACCGAGGGGTACACTACTAATAGAAAGGCCGTTTCACGGGCCTTGTGTGTATCCATCCGGTCCAAGTCGACCTTTCGACTCCGCTTCCCTCCCTCCTCCTCCTCCTCCTCCTCTTCGAGAACGCGTTCGTGGCTTCTTTTCTTTTTTCTTTTTTTTTTCACGCCGTTATCCCTCTCAGACATCGAGACACCCTGGACCCGGCTGGCTACCGCCGCGTTTTTTCTCCCCTCTCGAGCCCGGCAACCCTCCTCGTGACGCGATGGGCAGTATACGCAGCAGCACACTTGCCTCGTAAATTTCACGGGTGCAGCTGAGCTGCGAATTGGCTGCGGTCGAGGGCGACAAATTTCTCGAAAAGACAAGGGGGAGAGGGAGGTGGGGAGGAGGATCGTTGCACGATCACGGCGGCATCGAGACACGGGAAGCGAATCTGCGGAAGCGGGCAAATGGCCAGTGTAAATCATGACGGGAGAGGGAGGACGCATACGTGGAAACGGGAAGTTATGGATCGATAGGAATTGATTTCACGTGACGACAAACGTGATTCTGAAAAGGCTGGTTTCCTTTTTTTATTTAATGGAAATCGAGGGATGTAATTGGCTAATTAGCGAGTTAATTGTTCCAATTGTTGCTGCTCGACTCGCTGTTTAATAATAGAGGTTTTGTTGGTAAGCTCTCTCGAACGGATGCAAGTTGGGGATAGAGAAGAAGGGAGATATTTGGATATATATATATGTTACGGAGGAACGAGTTCGATCATCTCGAAGTTAATTTTCAACGAGAGATAAGTTTAAATCGAGTTCGGGGGGTTTTTTTTCCCTTTCTTTCTTTTCTGTCCGTTAAAAATTGACGAAACGAATCGGTATCGGTAAAACTCTCGTCTTCCAAGTTTGATATTTTATATACGGTGGTTAATCGGAGGATAGAATCGAGGTCTGAAGGACCTGTTCGAGCTTCTACCTGAGGCAGGTAGGTAAAATCGAGAGCGGTCAGAGGCCTTGACCCTGGGCGAAGCTCGAACGCGAGGTGAATCAACCTCTCGACCGCGTATCGCAAATTGGCCGCGTTACAATCTACGAATAAATCCGCTCAACTATCGTTATCAATATTTTACCAACTCATCTCCTCCATCTTCCTTCCGACTAATTCAAAAAATTCAATTCATACGAATGTTAAAATTCTTTGAAACACTCGATATGAATAATAATCCAGCGCTTATTGGAAATGGATGCAAATTACAAAAGAATGTATCGTTCGTTAAACCGGAATCGCATAATTTGTTCGTCAAGCGCGTTCAAATCGCGTATTATCGAGGATATAAATATTCTTCTTAGAAGAACCAAGATTCCACAATTTATTTCGCATATACAAAACGAAATCGTGGAAAATTAATTTTTCCAAAAAAAAAAAAAGAAAGAAAGAAAAACACGTTTGCAATAAAATCCGAAATTCTACTATTCATTTTCATTATTTCCAATCGGCAACGAGCACATCCTACGCTTCGTCCTACGATCCTCGTTCTCCGACACATCTCTGAAACCGGTCCCACGTTCCCTCGGCCCGCTGTACTACTACTTCGCCCCCTAAACCTTCCTCCAACTAAAAACCTCTCGCCCTAAAATATCGTCTCGTACGTCCCACATGGCTCGTACCACACACACACACTCTCTCTATCGACGGACTCGATCCATTAGGGGAATAGTGCGGCTTCTAACCTGAAATCTTTTGGCCCATGTTTAAGGCCCGATAGGGGGACCGATGGTGGTGCCGGTGTTGAAGACGGTGTTCGAGGCACTGCTTTCCAAGGGGTAGCTTGTGCCTGAGGTGCCAGGCGACGCCAGTGATGGTGGTGGCGTCCGCCGTGGTGGTCGTGGTGACGTGGTCGTGATTACGATGATGGTGGTGATGGTGGTGATGGTAGCGGTGGTGGTAACGGCTGATCGTCGGTGGCGTAGCGGGTATCGCACCACCGTCTATTCCTCCGTTCCGACCTCCGCCTCCTCCTCCTCCTCCTCCGACGCCGCCTCCGCCGCCGCCCCTGCCGGGGCTACCGCCCCCGCCGCCCCCGCGGCCGCTGCCTCCGTTACCTAGACCGCCTCCGGTACCAGTCGCGCCGTTCCCGCGGCCACCGCCCCCGCTCACGCAACGATTCGCTTTGTACCTGAAACACCAGCCAACGCAACCTGGTTAGTTACTTTTTCCATTCTTCGACTCGGGCTAAAGGTGAGGAAAGGAAAAAGGGGGGGCGCGTTCGAATCGATTTCTCTCAACGGGGGATGATGCGTGTCTTCTTTTTTTTTTTTAGAAGAAATTCCGTTTAAATTATCTAATTATCTAATTTAATTATCTAATGAATATCGATCGAAGGCATATTAATCCGGGTCGAGTTTACTTCGAATTCCTTCGAAAGGAAGACGATTCGATAATAAATTTGCATTACAATTTTACAAATTTTCTTCTGCCGAGAAAGACAAAAAAAATTTGGGAAGACTTTCGTTGTTCGAGGGATTATTACTGGAAATCAAGATCGTATCCCGTTCGACAGGCCGAATATCCCCGGGGCCCTGGCTCGAACGGTTAAAATTCCTATCCGTAGCGGTAATATTTATTGCCACCGCGGCCACGTCGGTATAATATCTTCATAAATTCGTTGCGTATCGTGTTCACGGTCGTTCGGTTTCTGTACCTTCGTCGCCACGTTTGATATCGCGCATAAATTTGCGCCGCGGAAACGGGAGACACCGGTGGCGAAGCGCAGAAAACGCCCCTCCCCAGTTTATGCACAAGCTTGTATCTTGTCTCGTACGTTTTCCACGGCGCGACGGCCGACAATATCGCGGCAACAAACACGGCCAATCGATTATCACGCAACGGGGCTTCCACAGCTTGCGGATTTTCGTGTCACCGCGGCCTACCGGTTTTACGCAACCGGCGGGGAGGGGAGGAAATTTTAAGCCCAAAGGGGGGGAAGGAAAAAAGTCACGTTCATGCTCCCCCCCCCCCACCCCATATCGATCGATCGAATTCGCAACTCTTTCCACGCCTTTCTTTCAACTCGCGCTCTGGTTGTCCGATGTAATTGCGTTGAAATCGTGTTTCGAGAATACACGTGGCCGTGAAACGAATATACGCGATAAAAAGCGGTTCCTTGGACGATTAAAACTCGTCGATATCAATCGTCTCGATAATCGTTCGAAAGAAAAAGAAGAGCGATAAAAACGGAGGCGAGGGGGAAGAAAAATTCCCGGCGAATACTTTTTTCGAGAGGAATTTCGAGAAATCTACGCGGTCGATAACGACGAGGATTGATTACAGCGAGGGAGGAACAGCAGAAGAGAATCGGTTTTCGAAGCGATTTTTCCCCATACGAACGAGGATATAATCTTGGAACGAGGAAAAAACGCGAGGAATTTAAAAAGAAAAAGAAAACGCGAAAGTGAAAATAATACCGATAGCAACAACACCCGTGCCGGAAAGCTGGATACTCGAAAACTGTTGCGCACACTTCTTGGAATAAAGTCCGTGACGCGAGTTCCATATACCGAGATAGGAAGTTCCTTATGACGCGTGTCCACGTCGCCGCCCGCGTGAATCGAGCGTTTCGATTCGTTTTGGGGCGACCGATGATTCGAATAGAGTTTCGGTTTAGGAGGAAATAACGTGGATCACGAGCGAGTCTCGTAAACGAGATTAAAGGTTAGCTTATCGATTCATCATCGTGATCAACGATTGGAATGAAACGGCTTAGGAGAAGGGGCGTGTACAAGCTCACTTCGATTCGACCTCGAATCGACGACATCGGGCATTCTCGAGTTCGAACCTGATCGACCAGTCGTCGTGTATTTCAGCGCAACGATAGCTGCTGGCGTCGTGCCTTTTCTTTCGACAGTTCACCAGTTGCATGCTTCACCAGAAGCGATCAGACGTGAGAAACAAGCGACGAGCTTGTACGGGGAGCTCGATTCAGGGAACTAGGGGAAGACAAAACACGGTTACGACGAGGTCGTTCCAATTTTTCCTCCCTTTCTTCCTTTCGTGTCACGTAACAAAGGTGTACACGCGCACCTTCCGGCCACCCACATCGGTATCCGATTGATTCCGTTTCTCCAGAGATTATTATTTCTCCCGACAGAAAATCCGCTCCAAGATTTCGATTCGCCAACCACCAACGATCCAATCTTGTGAATTTTTTAAGTTTACGATTTTCTCCGGTTAAATTAATCAATGCGATTAAGAAATTATACACTTTCGAACTGCGGACGAAAATTCTCTGTAACTTTTATGAATGCAATCCTTTGGAAAATTTTTCATACATTCTTCTCGAGGAACAGGCAGCAAAATCCCACCAACGGTTGCGCTCACAGTCTGCCTGCTAATGCGCTTCCGCATTACGCGGAGAGTTCGAAAGTCAAGTTGGAAAAATAAATAACGTAACGTGAGCGCCGTATATTTTCTTTGATTACGAAACGTTCAGCCGCGATTAATAATCATCCAAAGTTCTCGACAACGGGATCCGTTTCGAAGGAGGAACTTTGCTCTCTCTCTCTCTCCAACGACGATGAGAACGACGAACGCCAGTCTCGTTGTCGGAGAACGATCCAGGGGCCCCGAACGTTCCCCTTCGTCGCCTATTCCGGTTAATTCCGAACGATATTACGGGTGTCCGGAGAAAGTAAGCGAGTAATCGGGCAGCGTGCAGTAAGCAACGTTGCGTCATCATCGTCCATCGGGCCGGTTTAAAGCGTACGCTTCGTCACGCTCGCTCGAAGCGAGCTGGGCTACTTTTACCAAGCCTCGTGAAAACTGACTAACTACTTGCTGCGGAATCGAGCGGATCAAAATCATCGATAATTGTGAATGAGAGTCTGAGAATTCTGATTCTCTCTCTCTCTTCTCTCCCGAATTTTACGTAAAGTAATTTAAAATTTCGCTTGATAAATCGAATCGATTCTGGAAAAAAAAAAAAAAAAGAACATACACAGCCTGCACAGATATACAAATTCGTAATGTATTGTCGATTTCGAATTTCACGGCAGCACAGTTTAAAATAAAAATTTGATCAAACATTTACACGTGAATCGTTGTGCTCGCAGAATCGTTGTTGAATCCGAGTTAAAAAGCAAACAATTCGTAAAAATCGTGAAACCGTACGGAAAATCGAATTTTCCATACAGGCAAACTTCGATTTCATCGAATCATGGCGCGAGAGAGAGAGAGAGAGAGAGTGGATGATTCGCAGGGAATGATATTTTCTTTTTTTTCCCGGAGCGCGAGTGCATGCACCGAATGGCATTCGATTTTTAAGAGGGAAGAGACGACGAGAGAGCATCGGTCGGTGAGGCAGACCTGGAGGCGGCCGACCGGCGGCGGTATTGATCCGCGGGGGATCACCTTTGCCCCACCTCGACACGGGTCCAACCCCCAAATCCACTACCATTCCCCTCTCCCTCAACCTCTCTAGACCCCTCTAACATCGACGACTACCATCGAGAGGGGTGGGAAGGGAGAGGAGGGCGAGCCACCCCTCGGCTGCAAAATAGACCGACAAAAATATTCGGGGAAAAATCCGTCGCGCCGATCCCTTCAGTTTTGCGTCTCCAAGCTTGAAATGAAACACGTTTCACCTGTTTTCACCGGATTAACGAGTTTGCCTCGAACAAGTGTTCTTTAGAGTTTCGAAAAAAAACCTGCTGCTTGTAGAAAATTGCCAAAAAAAAAAAAAAAAAAAGAATAAAGGAAACAAATAGAGAGAGATCCGTGCAAAAAAAAAAAAAAGTAACGGACGAATGTCTCGACAAGTGGTAATCGAGGATGAGAGCGACGGCTCGTTCACGCTAGACGGTTGATTAAAACACTTTATCGATGATATCCACAACTTTCAATCACCTACGCTGGCAATTGATCGATCAAGTGGTCATCGAGAGATCTTGATCTCTCTTGAGCGACAAAAGAATAATTCTAACGGGGATAAATTTCGAGGTCGAGGAATTTACGGTCGAGGATCCGACGCTTCGCGTCGAGCGTCACGCGACCAGCGTTAAAGAAAGAAGATAATAAGAACGTAATTTAAGGGGGTGCAAAGATGCGAGGTCGTTTTCAGCGAGCTTTCCAGGATAAGGAATCGGCGTGGAAACGGTATTATCGGTCGGATCGATCAAACACAGGAAAGAGAAGAGGCTAACACTAACACGGGTGGTCGCGCACGCCACGGCACTGCCAGCCATCGACGAGAGCCGGTTGCCAACCGGTACTACGTTGAGCGCCGGCCAACAGATGTCAATTGCGCTCAATGATAGCGAAACGACGATGCGTTACGCGTCGTTATTCCCGGCTGATGTGTCGAGAGCCTCGCGACAATGTGTCCAATCTCTGTATTCGTTCTCGGCAAGATGATGGATAAACATCGTCTTCCTGTGCGATAAGAATTTTTAAAATATTTCGTGAGAATCGATTAATTGTGATCGAGAAAATATCGCGATATATATAAATTTTCGAAGATGACGGACAAACGACGTAGCTCTAAATTTTAACGTTTTGGAAACGTTGTGGCATTTGGCCAATTTGTTGAAAATCTCGTGCGCAATCTTGACAGACGAATACGATGAAATACAGATGAAAGAAAGACTTCTTTGTGTACAGGATGACGCAGCTTTGAAATTTTGCGACAGTTGGTCGATCGTAACAATTGATGATAAATATATATATTTTCTTTTTCCTCGCAACGCGATAGATGCACAGGTAGAGGCGTATCGCGGTTACTTAGAATGTTTCATTATCGCGATTAGTTTTACACGGAAAGATGACGAGGATTTGTTTGAATAGGTCAATTTAGTAATGGACTTCAGGGATGCTAATAATTCTCTTAATCGACCCTTATTTAAAACCGGTCGAATTTAACCGGTCAAAATTCTCCTTCCAACCGATTTGCAACCGATCCTAAATAATTGAAGCGACTTTTCATCATCAACAACCGACAAAATTCTACTTTTCTCCCCCACCTTACGTAGTCCGTATAGAAATTCAGAAATTGGAAGAAAAGGAAAGACGCGTTCGAGGACAAATTATTTGCATGAGAAAAGGGGAGGAAAGGGGAGGATTCGCGAAGCGATTCGGAGAGAAAGGAGTTGTATAGGAACGGGTGTTTCGCGCGTGGTCGCTACT